TTAGTATATCGGAAACGTTATAAATTATATTCTGATATAAATATAGTTATGATAAGTTTGCAACTTCTATTCAGTGCTTCTGGCTTAGCAGCGTTTCTTATTGTTCCTTTATCAACATTAAGTTTGGAAGCTGGTGTCATTGAAGTAATTTATAAGTATATAAACATATCTGCTAAAAAAACAAAATATAAAAGGTCTATAACCTTTAGAAAGATGCTAAGTTTATTTAAATGTTAAAGTATTACTGAAGAATAAATTAACTTAAAAGAGAACATTTCACACAAAAATTAAAATACTTTCCAAGAGAGAAGTACATTAAACAGTAAAGTTAAATGGATATAAATGAGATGAAGTGAGCTGGTTGATTGGATGCAAGATAAATTTTTAATACCCCTTAAATGCAACTAGCCAGATATTTCATTACTGCGGACCTTTTCTTTACTAAAATTCAAACATGTCTAGCTAGAGGTGATCATGTTATTAACAGAGTGGATAAAGCACGTAAGAAACGTAATATTGCTTATAGTAAATCAAAAGCTATAGCTGAAAGACATATGGCTGATCAAGAATTGATAAAAGATATGAATTCTATTCAAGATCCAATTTTACGTGTTGCTAGAGGAATTATAAAACCAATTGTTAAAGCTAAGAAAACATTCAGTCTTGGTATTTTGTCTGTTATGTACTGTTTAAAGTGTAAAATAAAAACTAAAACAACCAATATTCAGGTTTCAAAAAATGGAAGACCTATTATTAAAAAATATTTAAAGTTTGTTTTGCAAAAAAGTCTGAATTTTAAAACATAATTTTGAAAGAAATATATTATGATCCAGAAAGATGTTTCAGCAGTATAAAAAGCATTAAAAAGGAAAACTCAGTTACCTCAAAAAGAAATAACAGAATTTTTACATCAGCAAGATATATATTAGATATAAATTTGAAAGAAGAATAGTTTTCGTAACACATACTAACGATCAGTGGCAAGCAGATTTACTTAATATGAGACAATTTAAATCTTACAATAATAACAAAATAATAACAGTTATATATATTTTCAGTATATATATACATGGATGTTCCAATCGAAGCTCGACTCGCAATCTGAGGGTCGCGGGTTCGAATCCCCGCCACACCATACATGCTCGCCCTTTCAGCCGTGGGGGCGTTATAATGTGACGGTCAATCCCACTATTCGTTGGTAAAAGAGTAGCCCAAAAGTTGGCGGTGGGTGGTGATGACTAGCTGCCTTCCCTCTAGTCTTACACTGCTAAATTAGGGACGGCTAGCGCAGATAGACCTCGTGTAGCTTTGCGCGAAATTCAAAACAAACAAACAATCCAATCGAAGTTAAAACGGGAGAAGAAATAACAGAAGCACTGAAAGTCATTTTTAAAAAGAAGAAACCGAAAAAAAATTCAAACGTTAAAAGGAACAGAATAATGACACTCAAAAATTATTTAATGAACGAAATATTCACTGGTTTAAAACTGAAAGTGATCTTAAAGCACAGATAGTTGAAAGATTCAATATAACTTTGAACACTGAAATGTGGAAATATTTTACTGCGTATAATATTAATAAATAGATTGATGTTTAAATAAGTTAATAAAAATGATAATAATTGATATAATAGATCAATTAAGATGGCTCCAGTTGAAGCAAGTAAAAAAGAAAATGAAAGTAAAGTATATGATAATCTATATAATGTAAAAACAAGTTGACGATAAGGTTAGAATTTCAAAATATAAAGGAACATTCAAAAAAGGATGTTCATTATAACTGAAATTTTACAAACAGATTTTACAATTTATATAATTAAAGATCTAAATTATGAAAAAAAAATGGAAAGAAGCTTTTACGAACCAGAATTGGTTAAATATGATAAAAAATTTATAAGGTTTAAAAATAATTAGAAAAAGGGATGATAAAGTATTTTGAAAATGATTAGAATATCTAAATACATTTAATTCTTGGTTTAATATTTCTAATATAATCTTAGAGGGTTTATTTTTACTTCTGATATTTCCACTATTAATTCTTCTTCTCTTAAAT